TTTTGTTATATTCAACGTTTCTTAAAAATTTTATGAAAATATTTGTTGACTATTTTCTATAAAAAGAAAGATGGTACTCAAATTTTTATTTTGTCCATTTTTTTCTTGTAATCACTTTAAGAATCGATTATTTCGAATTAAGGGCCCCCCCCCCCCCCCCAAAAATGGAACTTCGACAGGGTACATGGGATATTGATGAAACTTTGCATGGATGTTGGGCTCATGAAAGTACATTATCAAAAAAAATTTCACACCTCTATCCCTTACCGTTCAGGAGATATCATGGTATCAAGCTGAAAAACAGGGCTCTCAGGCGAACAAAGATTTCGTCACTATAGTACATGCTGCAGAGATCGGGTTGGTTTTATTTGAAAGATAAATCCTTGCTGCTTCGGATGAGGGAAAGGGTTTTTTTTTAATTTGGCTTTATTTCATTTTTTGGATCATCGAAATCTCAAAAATCTGAAAATCTAAGGTATGGTTTTCTAGAAAACTGAGAGTTTCTCTACCATTGACGAGTATTTAAAAAATCCATTCCCCTCATCCGAAGGACTATGTATGTATCTATCAATCAAAAAAAGCCGCAGCTCTCTAGAGCGAAGTATAGTGGAGAAAAATTTGTTCTACGTTTGATCATTACATCAAAAACTGGTTCTGAGAAAAACCTAAAAACATTTTTTTGCACAATATCTATCTATGGTGCGAGTTCAACACAAAGCATGGTCATATCATATATTAACTGCTAGAATTAATCAAAGTACATAGAACTACGCTACTGCTGACACTTACAGTTGACAGTGAATGGAATAGTCGACAGTTTTTCTTTGGTTTTTGCTTAAATTCGCATATGAATATTACAGAGGGCACTTGAGAAAGTTTTAATATATCTGTCGGAATCTTTCAAAGTTGAAACTTTTTTTAATGAATATTGACAGTAGACACCTTGGCCGATATGTCTGTAAGCTTATCTCAAAAATCTTTGTTTTTGACGAAAATCGACTTTTCTGAGGGGGGGGGGGGCCCTTAATTGGTTTTTGAAAGCAGCTATTTTATCATTAGTAATTATCACCAGTACTTTGGCGGTATTTATATCATACAGTTCACGACCGTGCGTAGCTGTATTAAATCTTTATTCCTTTATTTTAACATTTTAGTCGATTTACTAAAGTTTTCTTGTAAGCGCTTTTATTCGTTTATCTATAACATGGTGGTTTTATATGTGCGAAGAGCAGGGATATGAAAAAGAGGAAAAGTAGCAGAGAGGAGAAGGAAGTGTGTTGCAGGGAAATGGTTTGAGTGCTGAACAGAGGGTTATAGAACCTTAAACACTGCGAAAATGCGGACTTTTCTTATTTCTTTTTACGGCTATTTTCCTGATAAAAATGCGATTTTTACTAGAAACAAATAAGACTCCAATAGTGAAGGATGCCCCCTTCCGTAGGCCACGTATCTGAGAAAAAGAAAACGTATACACAATGCATAATTAGAGATAGCGAACGAAAAGGAAAAAAGCAGAACTCGAAGCACGTATTCGGTGAAATATAATATAGTAATTCCAATGAACTATCATTGATCGACATACTTTTGTGCAGCTTTCATCCTGAACAATAGCACTATGATAAGACTTAAAATGTCCTGATTTTAATCGAAATTCTTGATTTTTTTCTAAAATGTGTCCTGCCTATTTTCCTGATTTTCAGACATAGACCGCTGCGACCCCTGAAATCCTATTGACATAAAAAAAGTGAACTTATTGATGTGAAGTGTAGACACCTCTTAAGATGAAAAATATTTGTTCGATGAAAGAAATACATGAAAGAGCAAACAAGTAATGTATGATCGAATCAAACCATAAATAAAAAGAAAAGAATTTGTTTTCTTCTTTCAATTTTTTCATCGATACTGAGATGCTATTAAAATAAAAGTTGAAAATCACTTTTTCATGTCAGCGAAGAATTATTTCTAGACAAAAGAAATAATTGAGTGATTAGACTAAAAGCTAAGAAGTTTTTTTTATTAGATTCACTACATCAATGATGGTCGATATAGTCAAAATCCATATTAATATTATCAACATAATTAGATAATGTTTTTCAAAATTAGCTCTACTTGTTATCAATCAATTTAGAAAAAAAATCAATTTTTTTTCTTTCACTTTTTGCGTTACTCTGTAAACTTGTTCATCTAATTTACTTGAACTATCGTTAATATAGGACATTTTTTTGTGATTGTTCAGCTAGTGAATTGATAGTCAAAAACTATACCGAATTATATTCTCAGTTCTCTCGTTATTGGATTGAATCACTAAGATGGAATCGAATAGAAAGAAAATTTTGAAAGATCAGATGTGAGATTACAACATATGCGTAACGATATAATAAGAAATTCTGTTTTACGAAGTTGGTGTTTATTTCAGAGATACCTCTTCGATGTATTTTCGTTGAAGCAGGGTTTCGTCTGCAAGCAGCAATTGTATTTCATTTTCTTTTTTTTTTTCTAAATGAGACAAACCATACGATTTCACACCGAAGCAATCAATTAAAAAGATGTTGTCAGTTCGAAACACAAAATCTGATTGATAAATCCAGTATGTCAACATGATTGTGTTGTAGAGATAATATTCAATGCAATTCCTTCAATTACATTCTAGTCCTTCTTTCATATGAATTATATCATTCTCGCATTCAACAAAAAGCAAACTCTTAGAAATTTTGGCAGATGATTGCATCTATATACTACTAAATAACTACAAACTTTGAGATCTATATGTTTTATTATGTGATGAGAACCTGTAACAATACTATTATATACTATTTTTTCAATTTTCCTGATCATCTCGGTTATTAGCAGGTGTGCGAAAATATTTGCAACATTTTTTATTTCACATGTATTTTTGGTGAGACATATAATAATATCTTGAATTTTTTCTGAAAAGATTCGGCATAAAAAGCTCTATAAACATGGTAATAACAAATTCCTATTGTCTTGTGTCGATGGTCTTTTTCATCTTCAAAATGAACACCCCATATGATAGTGGTATTTCCCATCATATTGAGCACAATAAAAATCTTTTTGTTTTGCAATACGGGTTTCTTATTACCATTTTTATAGAGCTTTTCATAGCGCATCGTTTAAGAAAAAACTTGAGATTTTGTCATGTGTTTAGGCAGAAATATATGTAAAATAAAAAATGTTGCAAACATTTTCGCATACCTGCTAATAACCGAGATGATCAGGAAAATTGAAAAAATAGTAAATAATAGTATTGTTACAGGTTCTCATCACATAATAAAAGATATAGATCTCAAAGTTTGTAGTTATTTAGTATTACATAGAGGCAATCACCTGCCAAAATTTCTAAGAGTTTGCTTTTTTTTGAATGCAAGAATTATACATTTCAAAATGACTTCAGAATTTCTGGGACACCTCTTGTATATAAATGTATACAGAGTTTGTTCAATACCTCATATTATTGTCAATACAAATCGAATTTATTTTTATGGATATCTATCTGTTTATTATATATGTGTTATTATATAAAAAGTCAGACTTATTATAAATCTAGATAAACAACAAGTTTCATGAATTATTATAATTTCTAACCAACGATTAGCCATTATATCAACGATCCCATTGTCTGACAGTGCGAACAATTTTGAGTGTTCGAACTACCAAGCCACAGATCATTATATGCGATATTTATCTGACCGATAAAAAAATGAAACAAACACTGACATATTGAACGTTGTACAGGCAACTTCATTTCGAATGGCAAGAGATTTTCGATTTATGAATATTTATTTTGGATCTCTCCTTCTTCATTTTTCTCAAACAAGCAGCACATAGTTTGAATACAGTTTGCGAAAAAAAAACCAAAATTAATTTAGAATCTCGTTGATCAATGATTTTTTTTTACTTGAATTATTCTTATACAAGATTCTATCGTCTTTTTCTTTTTCTTTTCCTGTTGTCAAAAATAGTCAATTGACGAGTCAGTCAGCGGCTGCTATTTGAGACGAATAAAGGAGAGATGCAAGAAACAAAGAAAAAGATTTTAATATGCTTCTTATTCAGTCATGAATCATTCGAAGTGTAATTAACAATAGAGCTTATTATTTTCTGAAGTCAAGAAAAATCGGCTGTTCGTTTTGAAGAGAAACTACAAAATTGTATTCAAATAATCATCTGAAACAAAAGAAGAAAGGGATGTGGGTGTGAGTGTATGGATTTAGTTGTGAATGAGGTGCAAAAAAAAGATAGAGACAACTCCACATCTACACCCAAGACAAAAACTCAACAATAACTCCTTTCCAAATTTCTTAACTCATCTTAATTTTTCTGACGAAAATAACTAGTATTTTTAATTCTCATCTTAATTCAATCCTTAATAATAAATAATAATCAATTCCATGTATGTTTTTTTTACATAGAAAAACAAACTCTGGTAATATTTTATTCTTAGAATACAACAAGAGATGAAATTTAAAATAGAAATATACAGAAAAAAAATACACAAGTACTCAGAGGTGCAGAATCTTCCTCATGCGCCCCCGCGCGGGGAGGGAAATTTTTTGAAAAACTCAAATAATAGGGAAATTTTGGAAAAACCCGCTGGCCAAAAAAAAATACGGTGGGGAAATTTTTCAAAAAACTTTTTTGCGTAGGGGGAAATTTTTGGATTTTTGGAAGATTCTGCACCTCTGCAAGTACTATATAGTAGAGTGCATATTCTTTGCCATTGACATCAATATTGAAGAACTGATTGCTGTGATTTTTATTATATCAATATCCTGTTTAAGTATGATTCAACAATAATAACAAACTTCTCAAAAAAAAAATAACAAACCACTTTTAAAAATACAAACTTTTATTTTTCTTTTCCATAATAGTGAAAAGCAGCTGCTTTCTATATCAATGTTATTTTATCATCTCGGGTAGATACAAAACCTATCGACGATAACTAACTAACTGTGATTTAGTAAAAGAAAAAATATTTTTTGTTAAATGTAAATTCTAATAAATGCATCGATTTCTCGTCGACATATTGAGCACAATCGCAGTGAATGACCACATGCGATACATGTTGCCATGTGACCACATGGTATACAAGCTAATTGTTTAGCTTCTGTCAGACATAGAACACAAAGATTCGATGGTTGTGAATCAGTTGATTGAGTTCGATCATTAATAGTAGTTATTTGTTTATTTGTTTGTGTTTCACGTTCATTACTATTGTTTGTTGATTTTGATGTTGAGTTAATAGAAGATTGAGAAGATGTAGATTCATTTGTTAATGATTGTGATGATATATTCACATCAACATCTGTACGATTTTGTTCAGATTGAGCTGCATTAGGTATAGTTGATACTTGTTCACGCATTCCTGTCTCTAGAAAATAAGAACATACAAATGAGAAATATACCTATAATAAACTCACTATTTTTTTTCTCGGATTTGTTTCATTTTTATACTTGGTATAACAATATTTTCTTTTTTACCATCAATATGTTCGATCTGTTTTCGAAGAATTACACAAGCAACATATAAATCACAATCGGATACAAAATCATCACCTGAATAAAATATTCAAAAAAAAAATACGTAAAACAATAGTTTGTTGATTAACGTACGTTTTATTCGTAATTGATCTTCCCAACATCGTTTAATAATAGATAATTTAAAATTTTGATCTAATAAACATTGTGACATCGATAAGTCTAATCGTGCAGCGACGAGTCTGGATAAAGTACTTTCATTAGGTATTACTAATTTTCCACTATTTTCTGTCACATTAGTATTTATCAGATCATTTGAGCCTGTTCTTTGTCTTAATTCGTTAGCTCTAGAGCGTTCTACCAAAGAAAAAAAAACAATCAATTTTAACCAATATTGTATAATTTTTCAAAATTTGCCTTGTTGTATTCGTTTAGATTCTTGAATTTTACGATATAGTTCTTCGCCACACAATTGTTTAGCATATGCACAAAATGGAAACCAACGAGCATGTTCAATCATTGGATTATCATTTGAACTCCAATTTTGTAACGATCCATTACAATAAAAGCAAGTAACAATGGTTGCTGCACCTGTATAAAAAAATCCTGCTCGAACTAAATCATCTACTAATGGTAAATTTTCATTTGGCCATGTAACGAATGATGCATGACGTTTTGGTATTTCTGAATAAGCAGGATTACATGATGCTCTAAATACAATATCATTAGGTCGTAATGAGCTGAGATTATTTGATATTGATGAAGTTGTAGGATGCATTAATGTTGTTTTGACATATATACAATTAGGTGATAGTGTTTTATGTAATTCACACGGATCATCGGTATGTGGTGTCCATTGTTGACAAATAAGATTACAATAGATGCATACTACTCGATCACCCACATTGCAACAACAAAATCCAGCTTCAATCATTTGTGCACTCGATGGAACAGTACGATGTGGCCAATGAGAAAACGTACGTCTTCGCACTTGTTGAAGTGAATTAGTTTCAAGTAAAGTATTTGATACTGATTGGAAATCCATCGTTTTTATCTTTTGAAGAGTATAAGTATTTTCGTCTGCCGTTGATATAGATGCATTTTGAGTAGTAGTTATTGGCATCGTGCAAGACACAAGTACATCTGATGATGAAGTTGGTATTATAGAGCGTACGAATAGACAATTCGGTTGACATTTTGAATGAATAGTAAATGGATTCATATCTAATGTCCAGTTCGATAGTTCAAGGCCGCAGTATTTACAACGAGCTGTATCTCCATCACCTGTATAATCAAAGCCAACAGCAGACATATAGCCGACGGCATGAACACCTAGTCTCTTTATTGATTTAATTAATGTCTGAATTCGATTAATCATAGTAGCAAGAGTTTGAGATCCTTCTTTTTTATTATTGAATGTTTTCGATGAAGAATGCATTGATTTGTATTTATTAGATGAATTACTCAAACTGTCAGTTAGAAATTTAGCTGTAACCGACATTTTGCTTTATCTATCTAATAAAATCTAAAAGAGATATTTATAAAAGAACGTTTGATTCATGAAAATTTTAAACAGATTTTAATCATTCAAACGACCTCACTAAGTATGCTCTGAAGCATAAAATAGAATCTAACTATTAAAAACGACAGAATCGAAGAATACTACAAATTGACCCAGTGAGAATTTTCCTTTAAAAACACCGCAGTCATTAGTAAAAATTTTGCAGACTCATTTGATAACATGTTTTAGTGAGACCAAAATGATTTGGATATTTATAACTCACTATACAGTCGTTATATGACACCCATAAAACTTAGTGTGACAAAAATTTATGTAAGTGACTAAAACCCAAACGCATGAAATTATGCCTGATGGAAAAATTTTCCTTCGAGCGATGATTGCACTCGATAAATATATACTATACTTTCTTGTAATAAATCCGCAACTATATATGGATTGATAAAGAGTGCCTAAGACATGATAATATCCAAGAACATTAAAGATAAATACATGCGATAAAATGGGAAATAGCAGACGACAGATAGGAAAGTCTTCTTTTCTCTAATGGATCCATCGATGTGTTTATATAAACTTTTTGGAAATTTCAATTATTACTCAAAGTTCCTAATAATTTCCGAAAATGTATTTTGTAAGTTCGGATTTGCTGTGAGAACAAAATTCTGTAAATTCTGCAGAGCTATAGAAATTTCCAAAAAGTTTCTCGCCAAAGTTGATGATTGGTATCTTTGTCACGTTGGAAATTTATGGCAAGACTTAAAATTTTTACTTTGAAAATCTAAACATTCGTCGTTATACTCAGACTCAACTAGTGAACGGGTTTTTTTTGACCCAAACTCAATGATACGTAGGTTTAGAGACAATAATCAGAAAGAATTTTGTTGCTTTTTGGATGCCGAGGTGTTCGAACTTATTAGAAATTTCTGACATCAAAGTTGGAGACAATGCAATAATCTTTTCTTCAAATATAAGCTCACTCCTAGAGAAAAATCTGCATGAACTCTATTGTTTGATTGTTGAAGAAAGTCTGATATTTTCATACACCATAAGATAAGATTGTTGCATATTGATTTTGAATTGTTTCAAAAATCTCCATTATTCATGGAAAACTTTGATTGATCTATCTCCTTCTAGTGTGTCGTCGAATGTCGACAAAACCCAATTGATATACTAATAATAAAAGTAACATGATGCAATGACTAGCTTTACTTGGAAATTTCCAAGTGTAGACAGTAGAATGATAAAAAAATTTTTAATTGCATAAATATGTTATAAAGAAGGGTATTGACAAAAGATATGCATTACAAAATCTTTTCGCAGTGTGATGTAATAGATGGAAGCAGTAACGATACAAAGAAAAATCTAAATTGTAAATTATTAAAATGGGGTTCACAAAAACATTGAAAATGATTTGCACACTGTAATTAACTCTTTAATTCATGAAATGACGAATATTTTGTCTATTTGAAATGAACCGAAGCTCACCATTATCGATACAATCTGATCATTTCTCAAGACCATCATCTTGATACGTACAATCTAAGATGTGACATAATTTTCCGTCATAAAAATTCTATTGTATTTTATCATAAATAATATTTTATACACTATTTCCAATGTTTTTGAGACATATGTTGGTTTTAAAAATATTTTTTCTTCTCATTTAAAGACTCCTCTCATTATTAGTGACTAGTAAAGAGGTTACAACAAAATTTCTTATGTCTCTAATTATAAAAAGGTGATAGTAGCGTTAATTGATTAGATGTTATAATTGATATAGAATAAAATTATATTCCTAACAAGTTCTTCAGAGATTCTTTCTCCAGTGAAATCATTTTTTCTTGATTGTCAAGCATTGTCAACCAACCATTTAAATTAAAAAATTGCTTCGGTTTCAATTCACAGTTCGAAAAAGAGTGGGTGTGGGTATCGTTTAAATAAAAGAACAAAACTCACACCTTTCTGATCAGATAGTGTATCATGAAACAGATCCAAAAAACTACGATTATATCTTACTTGATGCAGCCTAAAGTGTTTCACAACTTCATGTTGAAAATGATATTACATATATATATATATCAGTATATATGATTGAGAGTAATTTGACTTCAAAAACTCATGAAATTTAAAGATAGTTACAGCCGAATGAATATTGAAAATACGTATTTCCTAAGTATTCAGAGAGAATCCACTGCTATGTATTAGTACATAGGTAAGCCTGACTAACCTTTGAAAATCTCATTAATATCTAGCTTTTAAATATTTACCTAATACTTTTGGATAAAACGACAATGTCAATTAGGTAAACAACTATAGAAGGTATCACAATGTAAAATTTTTATGTTGATCTTCATAATTCAATCAATGCCGTCATCTTCTGTCTTATCGATCAACAAATCTTACTATGAATGCAAGTATATATAACTTGTCAGAGAAGCCATTATATTTATGAATATATATCCAATCATATGTTTAGAAAATTTCGATTCTAGTTGTCTTATACCAGTATCTCGCATATCGATCTATAAAAGCGACAAGTATTTGAGATTCTAAATATCTGAATTAACTGTTGGAACGTAATTAATATCATGATTGTCTTTTGAAATGAATATAACGGGTAATGCAAAAGTTCCTGCACAGAAGTCAGTCCATTTTTCATTGACAAAACATGTGTAGATAAACTCGAAAGTACTTGTAGAGAATCATCGTCAAAAGCTCTTTCTAAATATATGTTCTAAAAAGTTCTATCATGCCTTGCCTTTTGGTAGGTAGCATATCTGTAAACAGAACTAAAATATGATCTGTAAAAACAGCTACAAATAGGGAGCACGTAAAAAAAACGAATCATTCGGTATTTTTTTTATTATGTTCATTGCAATCGATAGTAGTATGATACTACTTCTTTATCAGTTAGATGTGTCATTCAATTCACTATAAACTTCATAGAAAATCTTACGGTATCTTATTAGATGGTGTGACCGACAATTTCACAAACAATGATGTAAGAAATAACGTCAAAATTGAATGTGAAAATGATGAAGAGCCAAAAAAAGATTTTTGAGATTCGAATGGTATCATTTTTGATAAAATCAGTTGAAATGATGACATACAAATAGTCCGAGATAATCGCTTTATGAATATGTCTGAGTCAATGCCTAGAAATGACAGATTTGAACAGCAAGAAAAACAATACGAACATCAAGCTGAAAATGACTAGAGATCCGAGAGTAAGTTCTCTCAGTGTTGTTTCAAAGAATTTCATAGTGTTTTTCACATGATTTATCTGGAATAGAGGCAATAATCTGATACAAAAAAAGATGAACATCTTCTCATAAAATGAACCGAAGGAAATCGCAAAATACTATGGGATAGGTACCTTCTTTTAGTATTCGTTTCCTATTGCAGATCATTTTTTAAGACTGTTTAATGATGTGCTCCCTACTGAAAGACAGACCTTGATAGAACTTTTTTTTTAAACATGCATTTAGAAAGACTTTTTTGACGTGGATTCTATCCAGGTACTTTTGTATCACTCATTAGTTCTGTTCTATAAAACAAAATCGATTATCTTGCATAATATGAATAAATAGTATATGTTAGAATGAAAAATAAAATGATTATTGTGAAATGAAAATCGATTATTGATTCAAGTTTTATATATTTTATTACTGTTTTGCGGATATGTTTAACAATCTTGTTTATGTACATGCTCATCTTGTTTTCTTGATCCACATTATTGAAGAATTGAGAACGAGAAGAAAACCAAAGCTTCAAAATGAACTGGAGCAGTGGAACTGGAGAAATGAAGGCCTGAGAACAATGCGGATTCGTTAAGAGCAGAGCAATAAGCAAGCGACCTCTTCCTGGTCCAAAGCAGGGTGTGGATGTTCCTGTTATTTATAATGATAGCCACAGTCACACCTGCACCCAAACCCACTTTCACACGCACACCCATACCAACACAGTCACACCCTACACTCACCCACATTCTACATGCACGCTCTCATTAATTTTTGTCACAGACGCTATGTATGACATTTGATGGAGCGACGAGAATCGTTTCTTTTCAAGTAGTTGTCGTTTGTTGAAGCGCTTTAATATTACAGAGACAAGCGCACATATAAAGTGTCATTTTCATTTTTTTTCTCTTTCTTCCTGTTTTTCTTTGAGCTTTTATTACTTCTATTTCTTCGCTGCTGTTTTTCAACTAGTTTCCACTTTTATTTTTCATGGTTCTTTGTGTTTATTCTTTTTTTTACTCTCTAATATATCTAACAAGTTTGAGTCAGTACCTCATGGACTAATATTGATGGCATATTATGAAATGCTCTGCATTAATCATGTAGGTTCTGGCCTAAATCTATCCATTTTTATCAACCATATAAGTACTTCCAAGTGTTAGATCGGCTAGTATAATGAAAAAAAACATACCAAGTGTTTATCTTGGTTCCCTTAAAGTATCTTGTCGACTACATGCATCATTTTTGAAAGTTACTTTCTATAATTTCTATCTTTTATAGTTGTTAACAATGATTATAATCCTATTTGAATGAACAAAACACAAGCAAATCAACAAGATTCAGTCAGTCCTACTGTTAAAGCAACACTAAATTGTATATATGAACGCATATGTTCTGAAATTTGTCGTACGAAATCAGTGAAACCATCAACTTCACATATATTCTTCATCTTTGATGCATCTGTATGTGTTTTTTTTATTTCGATCGATCAAATTCTTTTATTTTTATTTTTATAGGATGATTTAGCTAAAAAGAAGATTTATCCAACACTTTCGTTTGTAAAGAGAAGAAAAAAAAAGTTTAAGACTATGCTTGATTTAAATGTTAAGGTGGCTATATCGTGATGGACTTTTACCAGAACGCATTCGATTTATTGGCTATGCACGTAGTTTAATAACAATTGAAAAAATCTTTGAAAATGCATCTAAATATATGAAAGTAAAAATGAATTTTTCATAATTAGACGAAATAAAAGTGTTCATATATATTAGATTCCGGAAGATGAACGTGAAACATATGAAAAATTTGTCCATATAAATTTCTATGTTGTTGGTTCATATGATAATGGAAAAGATTTCGAAAATTTAAATGTTGAAGCTAATAAATTATCAAAACAAGATAGTGCACATCGAATTTTTTATTTAGCATTACCACCAAGTATTTATGAAAGTGTTACCGAATTGATTAGTAAACATTGCCGACCAAAATCGTATGGTGAAATTTTTACACATAAGTTTGCTTGTTTTTAATTGTTTATATTTATAGACCTGATTGGTTACGTTTAATTGTTGAAAAACCATTTAGTAAAGATTTTGAAAGTTCAAATAAATTGTCTTCACATTTAACTAATTTTTTTTACTGAAGAAGAAATTTATCGTATTGATCATTATTTGGGAAAAGAAATGGTACAAAATATCATTGTACTTAGATTTGCAAATCAAATTTTATCAAGAGTTTGGAATAGAGATTCTATTGCAGCAGTTAATATTATTTTTAAAGAAGATATTGGAACACAAGGAAGATGAGGTTATTTTGACGAATTTGGAATCATTCGGTATGAACATATTTATTTCAAAAATATTCAGGAATCACTCCTTAGTAAAGTGAATAAGTAGTGAAGACAGAACATTGATTCAAGCAAAATCTTGTTCGATGTTTTCTCTTTCATAGGAAGACTTGGTCAGCATATCTAAATAAACAACAATTTTGAGAATAGCTCAGGCGTCAATGCTACTTCGTCCTGTGTTCTGAGTATGCTAGTTATAGTATTGCAATTTAATCAAATGAAGTTTTGACGGCTTCAACGTCTTTTTCATTTAGTATCTTAACAAAGTCTTGTTATGGATTTCACCATTAAACATAGATGTATCTGTCACTCATTTTCACATTTATCGATAAGAAACTCAAGATGAAAATATTCTGACAAGAAATATTCTCAAGTGTTGGTTCTAGTTAAATTCAAACTAAAGAGATCGAATCTTTTAAGTGAATTTCGACTTGAGTAGTTATTAGGTAAAAAAGGACATATTAGCTTGTCTTGCATAAAAAAACTTCAAAATTTCCCAACTAAGTCTCTCCAAGATATGAAAATTTTGAGATACATGTTTTTCTCATAAGTGGCATTTACTTTTGGCTAGATCCGTATCTCGAAGAGGCATAGTTCGAAACATGCTTGAAATTTTTTATGAACTTCTTTATGCAAACCAAGACTTCTGTTATGTCACGCTTGGCTGCCATCATTCATTTTGTGGGAAGTTTTTCGTATAACCGCTCTTTATTGCAACGCGGTATCTACGTGATAAATTGCGTTTTTTCAAATTGATTTGCATCTAATATTCACCAATGTCTTTGTACATTTTGTGCAGTTTATATTGAAATGTAAGAGAATGAATAAGAAAGTAGAGGATTTCGTGACCAACAGTTTCTAGCATATTTCTTTAAGGCTTTTTAAAATAATTTTATTACTGCAAAGTGGCTTTGCGGTAATGAGATTTGTAATAGTTCATTGCAGTGTTCTTCGAAGGATGTCTTACCTAGATTTTGCTGAAAGTGAAAATAGGAGTGACCATTCTGAGTCGAGTCTGCTGATTCAGAACGAGCTTATGCGTAAAACTGTCGTAGTCAGATCCTTTATTCAGTTTTGTGGAACCCATATAGCTAGTGTTAACTTCTGTTGAGTATTTTAACTTATGTAGTGTGTGTGAGTTCCACAGTTCAGACCGAAAGAGGCTCCACTAACAAACTTTTGCAATACTATTTTATAACGCGCTCAAACCATGATTTACGATCACATTGAATTTTGCCTCATCAGCACAACTCTGTGGACTAATATTCGATCCTAAAAGTATAAGAACTATGATATCTTATGATACTTTTTGGCCAATAATTTTACATCATACGTCGTTCGAATAAAGTTTTCTATTGAAATCAAAATCTATTCAATATAGATGTGTTAATTATATTTCTACAAGTATTATGATAAAAATAACTGATTGAAATAATTTAATACTTGTTGAAAAGTAATTAGAGTTGTAATTAAAGCCTTGAAAAACTGTTATCTTCGAGAAAAAGCTATTCGAAATACAGATTTGATTCGTCAAACATATATTAACTATTGCCATGATGAATAGGGGTTACATATAAATTTGTCTGTGTGAACTAAGAGGTTTTTCAATCGGAACCAGGAAAATTTATGTCGAATTCATTTTTTGTTGTATGTAAAGAGATGTAATACAAAATCACTTAATGCAAATTTTATCAATTGTTGCTATGAAAAAACCACATTCAACAAAAGGTGAAGATATTCGTGATGAAAAAGTAAAAGTATTACGTTCTGTATTACCAATAAAAACTGAAAATGTTATCATTGTACAATATTTTGGTGATAAACATTCAACAGATCCTGAACATCAACTAGGTTATTTAGATGACAAATGCGTACCACAAGATTCAACAACACCAACATATGCACAAGTTATTCTCTCCATTAACAATGAACGTTGGGCTGGTGTATACCAATTATTCTTCGTGCAGGTTAATTTTGTTTTTATTAATAATCCGAAATAATGTAAATTTATTTGAATGCTTATTTTTAATTTTTCTAAAGGTAAAGCATTAAATCAGAAGAAAGCTGAAGTACGCATTCCATTTCACGATGCACCCGGTGCCATGTTTGATGAAGATATTCATCCCAATGATCTATCTGGTAGCGTAGCTCGTGATGAACTTGTTATATGTAGTCAACCAAATGAAGCCATTTATCTTAAAATAAATACAAAACAACCCGATGAAATGAGTTTTAGTATTGAAGAAACGGAATTAGATTTAACATATGGCGAACGTTATCAAGGTATTAAATTACCTGATGCATATGAACGTTTAATTCTTGATGTATTTATGGGTTCAAAAATAAATTTTGTATGTTCAGATGAATTACTAGAAGCATGGCGTATTGTTGATCCCATACTTGCTGAGATTGATAAGAAAAAAAATACCAATTATTCCATATAAATTTGGTAGTCGTGGAATACCTGAAGCCTTTGATGCAGCAGTTAAACATGGTTATCTTTTTCGAGGTACTTACGTTTGGAAATATGAACGATCAGCATCAACAAAAAACGAAGATAAAACAAAGGTTGAAAATAAAAAATGATTTTACTGTTAGGTGAAGAATATTTCTTTGTTTTAATTTTAATTTAGCTTTCTATTAGGAAGAGTATGAGCTTTCTTTTTTTTATTTCTGAACTGTTCAAAAAACTTAGTAGATTTTATAGAAAGGTTATATTTTGAAATAGATATTACTTTTCGTCGAATAGATTTTTTGAAAAGATCTTTCTTAAAATAAAGAAAAAAAGCATTTACAAGAATAATCTATTATTGAAGATACGATTTCTGTTCTTTTGCGAGTCTGGGTATTTGATTCATACTGACACCAACACTAACATCCAGTCACACTCCAAACCCTCTCAGTTTTTAAAATAATTTATTTGCAAACTTTGAGTTTTTTGCTAGTCGATCTGATCAGAGCTCGACAGATCTGACTTGTCCAGCTCGATGTAAGAAACCTCGTCCTCAAATGGGTGTGTGAAGATGTGGGTAGATGTGAGTCTACTTTCCACCCACACACATCCACACCCCGCCCAAGGATATATGTGAGTTCCACATTTTAGCTCCAAAAGAGCTGCGTTAACAAGCTTTTTCATTGTACCCAGTTAAATTTACAACTGAAAACCGAATTTTCTTCGTAAGGGTGTCGCTACTATAACATTAATGAGATTGGGCGATTTAGAAATCCCAATCGAATCGAATTCAACTAAGTGAGCATTCATTTATTTATTTCGGATTCAAAGCAAGTTCTTTGCAACTGATAATCTCCTATAGATATATTTTCCAATCGAATATATTTTCAGATGAATTTTGCAATCCTTGACTAACATAAAAAATGGAGTCTTTTATTTTTATTTCATACCCTTTGCCGTCACTTTTTAGTTCATTGCATTTTTTAAGGTTATATTTACTGTCTGTTGTTCATGCATATTAATTTACGAGTGTGAT